TTTGGTGCCATGAATCTATACATTAAAATGTGCATTTTTAAAAAGTTTGTGTTACTTTTATGTAAAATTAAAGATTAATATTATGATTGTAAATATGAAAGTTTAGTTTCTAGATATGTATATATATTTATATAAGAATTATGTGGTATGTATGTAAATGACCCAAAAGGAAATTGAACAAAAGTATTGAAATTAATTTTCTAGTTTTTCCTCAATTCATGTGTGTAAGCTGATTGAATGTGTATCTGAGCACTTCGCAAGTGTTAACGAGAGTTTCCTTATTCTAGCATGAGGCTTGAATCTTTGTTCTATGTAATTTCTATACATGTTCTTATTATTAATTTGCTCAGTGACTGGCAAATGTTCCTGATTGAAATTTTGTCGTGACATATTCATTTTAGTCATCTGAGACTTCACCTTTGTTACAAATGAAAATTTGTTCACGATTTTCTCATGACATTTCGAGTATACTAAAAACGCATGCTTGTTGATTTACGTTAAAATGAGTGATTTTGCTAAAATTGATGATTTATAAATGTGGATTGTGATATTTTGTGTCATTGTGCATCTCATCTTAGATTGTATTAGTAACCCTAATTACCTAACCATCTTGCTCCATCATAGCAACACAATATTTGTATGAAAACTAATTTTAAAGAAAATATAAGATGTTAAGGCCGGCAAAGAATGACAAAAGGACTTAAATAAAACTCCATAACAAGGAATGACATAAGGACCTCAAATAAAATGAAATCAATATATGAGACAACACTTCTTTTAAAAGTTTCATCAGCATAAAGGAAATGAGCAGAAAAATTATATCGATAAGAAACCTTTCTCTCTCGATAATCCTCAGGCATCAAAGTAGCTTCTATCTGTGAAAAGTGAAGAAAAAACTAGTTAGCATAACAAAGTGTTGTGAAACTGAAGGAAATAACAATTGGAAGTAAGAAATAAACAATAATATTACAAAGGTACGGATCCTAGATGCAAAAGATAGCAGCAAGAGAAGAGATGACATTTAATATGGATAACAAGAAAATTATTGGCAAAGGATTACAAGCTTAACTATTCGTAGGAGA